TCGGCAAGAAACCTTCCTGGAGGAGGTTGCAAATGTAAGAGGCGGATTTCTCTCATTTTCCGTCAACTGGACCCGATACACACGTAGAGGATCAACCATGACGCTCAAAAAGTGTGCGGGAGTCAGTACCTGTTCGTACCGTTGCCGGAAGCATGAAAGCTTTGCGGCATCGACTGGAAATGATTTCAGTTTTTTTCCACGGTCCTTCCAGGCTTCCACAACCTCTGAGAGGGTGCAGGATGAACGCTGTGCAATATCTAAGGCAGGGCTTCACAACTCAAAAATGACGCGGGCCAAAAAGAATGTTTATTGGGAACTACGCAGGTTTTTAATAACTGGCAGACAGGTTTTTTATATCTGGCATCATCGCACTGGTTCCGTCTTGAGCATATCTCACAGTGTCACGTCCGCAGGCCGCACAGGAAGTGCCCACCTGCCAGATGCGGCCCGCGGGCCGCATGTTGTGCACACCTGATCTAAGGCAACTGCGATAGGCTTCATTAGAGTGCCTTCATGTGCGCTTCGCATAGAGTGATGCCAACTGCCTGTTTCCCTTTCCCACACCCCCTTCCACCGCCATTTTGTTTCTCTCATTGTTTCCCCGTGCGCCGGAAAGTGGCCTTTGTGTCCACCGGTAATCCCATCCGAGGGGGAAAATCCTAATCCTTCCTCCGTGGGTTCCACAACGCTGCTCCGAACTTCTGAGATAAGGTGCTTGTTTCTGGGAGGGTTATAAGCCCCACGGATTATCGCCGAGGAACAAAATGGCTGCTGGTTTGTCGGCGAGTGGTATTTCAAAGGGTGGCATCAACCTAGCAAAGCGCACATGAAGGCTCCGTAGGCTTCATTCGTTGTGCTGAGCATCTCTTCCGCACTGGACTTCATTTGTAGGCTTGTCACTTTTTGCTGTATGGCACTGTCAATTTTCTGTTTGTTTTCGTCATAAACCTTCATTAAAATTACCCAGTTGGACAAATAAAGTGCCAAGCAGTCTACCCAGGTGTTTTAGCGAACCTCAGAAGGCAAATTCAAGCGTTTTCCACCCTCCTTTTTGTACTTGCTTCCGGCAAAATGGTTGTTTCTGAAGTATTTCATCACGTGCACGACCTGTTCTCTTACGGTTTTCACCTCGAAGCCTCTTGACGGCAAGTTGAGAGTGTGTGCGGAGCAGCCGTACGTCAGGATGCCTGTTAAAGACTCACTCTTCAGATCTCGTTTTCGCCATGTTCGCTGCATTGTCCGTCACAAAAATTCTCACCTTGCATTGGCTCTCGTTTTCACAGTTGTGACCTCACCGCAGTAATTTGAAGAAAGAGAATGTTCTGTGGTGGGAGGGGGGGTCAGTAGTGTCAGCCAGAAATGTCTGCCCAGTTTCATCCGTTACAGTGACGCAATCACTGGTTAATTCGCACGTTTCACCAACCGTTCATGCTCATAGTGACAACCCTGTTGTGCAGCTTCAGACGTGCATTTACTTTTTCTTCACGGTAAGCTTCGTCCATTAATGCATTTCCGACTTAGTTTTGGGAAGGCGGCTTGTACCCGGGACGCAGCATGTTCATGAGAGTAGCAAACTCGAGGTGCTCAACTGCACGAAACAATGTGGTTGTGGCAAACACAAGTCTAACTACTTGCTTGTCTAAATCATGCTTGAAACCTGCAGTTGTTTGAATGATGAAAAGAGTCCGAGAGTTTTTGCGATGCTTTCTTTTCCTTGGCTGTAGGTCGCAGTGCGCTTGGCGAACTCCTTGCCCCCTCTTGTAAAGACGTGCCATGGTTGCTTTGGCTGCTCTCTGAACCAATAGGAAACAAAAAATAAAAGTAAATATTACGGAAAACGACTATTCTTGGCTTTTACTGCTAATTTCCAAATAATAAATTGCTTTAGATCTTACCTGACGTTGTCACGTCGTCTTCAAGGACGAACAATTGAGTTTCCAAGTGAGAATTGTTTTCAGCGTCCTCTTGAGTATTTTGCTCCATGCTCCAAAGAGCACGACATACACTTAAATGTTTTTACAATCGCTCTACCGGACCCTGCGTTTGCTTGCCACAATTTCTACAAACTGCTCTTGCACCCTTGCTCTTCTTCTTACTCAAGAAATGTTCCCACACAGCAGCACGTTGGTGTTCTCTAAAAGGTTATTTGACCAACTGAGCCCAAACAAAGCGTGACCTTAAAACCTACCTTCGGCCGCTACCCACGTTTCCGCGGCGCCATCTAGTTGCATCGTTGCAGTGGCTTTCGCAGCATTCTGCGACTGCTTGTTCTTCTTCGCCGGTGAAAAACTTTGTGCAAGGTCTGCGACCTCTTGGAGACGCACCTCTTTCTCTGAGTACTGCTCTTCCGTGCCTGAAGTGCGGCAACAAGAAACAGTCATAACAGCAACTACATTTCAAGCTACCACCTGCTATAAAGGATACATCCAATACATATTAAAGTAAAAATTTTTAATGCACTTTTTGAGGTTGGCGGTGTCTTGCTGCTGGAACAGCGCCAGCAGACGATACATTCATTCCCGGACAGTACGGATCGTAAGGGCTTTACCACTGGCACGGTTTAGAGCGTCAGTGATCAGAACCCACCCTGCACTCTCCTCGTAAGGATTCTTGATGATGACTTCCCACAGCAGCCAGATGTTGTCTGTCACGGAGAATCTCAGTTTCTTGCTGGGGCCGCTTCAAGCTTCTGCCGGCGACCCGCCATCCGCCATCTTGAAAAGCACTGGATTGTTCTCCGTTGGCGTAGGTTTACATGAGACTCGGGCAGTGCGAGTGGTGACGTTTTGACCTAACCGCTCCCCCAATCCCGACTGTGCCGCCCGCGAATGCTCAGCGGTGTCGGATAGTTGTCTGGGGTGAACCGTTCGTGTTGGCAGGACCTGCTTAAACTCCCTGTTCTTGCTTTCTTCACCCCGCAACCACGAACATCCTTTTTCCTTGACGTCCCAGAAAGCTTTCTCAGAAAACTATAGGCTCCTCACGAAAGCAGTCCCTTTCCCCGGCAGGCACATTTCCCGCCTTTGTCATTGGCAATGGCACTTCCTGGGTGAAAGAAAAGGGAAGAGAAAAACAAAACCGAGTTCTGTCTTCCCATCCATGGTTGCAACGCGGGGTGACCCAGTCAAAAGGCAAATTAGTGAAGGGGCATCGGCGAGCAGCACAAATGCACAAAGAAAAAAATTGTGGAAGAGTGGCCAATGCCCGAGTTTGTGACACTGCGAAGCGTCACAGACTCGAGCACGGGACGAAGAACCGGGATGAAGTCTTGTCTCTTGTAGACTGGCCTTAGTTCAGGTGATCAAAGATTCCGCGGACACCATCGGGCGGACACATTCTGGACAATCCATGATCATACCTGAAATCACTTGAACACTACATACCACGCCACGCACAGTCGATAGGCACACAACAGTTCACCTCAACGAAAGAAGTTTGTGATTGTCCACACACAAAACCGACAACCAAGTAAGGCAATTAATACCTGTGACCACTAAGAAAAGCAAAGAAACAAACAACCCCTTCAATGCGTAACATTCATGCAACATACATAGGTTACAATATTCATACCAGTAAAACATGGATTGAATTCTAAACAAACACTGTAGAAAAAGGGAGACAGGCTGCAGAAGCAATGACAAAGAAAAGCGCTGCGACATGTAGTTTGGTCAGAAATCTAGTCAATCCGGCTCATGTAGTCGGCTCCCTCATTCTCACTTCCCTTAGTGTACTCTGTTCACAAGTCGTACAGCTGGAGTCTGAGACTCCAACGGAGAACTCGGCAGTTAGCTGACTGGGATTCTTTGATGAACTCCAAAGACTGGTGATCCGTCTGGACCAAGAACTTCCCCCCATAGAGAAATGCTTGGAACTTTTCGATCTACCAAACCAGGACCAATGCTTCCTTCTCTACCGTCGAGTACACGATCTCGCGAGGAAGCAGTTTGCGGCTAGCGTACGCCACAGGGTGCAGCACTTCCCCATGCCTCTGGGGAAGAACAGCACTTACCCCTCGGTCGGACGCATCTGTCTACAGAACAAGGCATTTCTCGAAATCGGGGAGCTTCAAGATCGGTGCATTCAGCAATTTTAAAAAGATAAAACAGCGCAAAAAGACACGGACAGGGAGGATGTACACACACGGAGCGCTGACTTTCAACTGTTTCATTTTTGAAAAAAGACGCCTACCGTTGTGCCTACATACATCCAGCCAAATTACATCATCTATGCCACATCATATCAACTGACCATTGTGTCTAAAACTGCTGATGAATGCAAGTTCACAGTCAAATAAACAAATGGAAGGAGAGCTGACACACCTATCTGTGTACTTAGAAATAAAAAATGCTTCCGCAATCTCCCTAGTCATCTTTTGGCGATGCTTCGCCAGAATCTCTGTATTGATTAAAATAGGAGTGCACCCGCACCTATTACAGTACACCGCCAAATTTCCTGACGGTGATGACCTCATTGAGCACGCATGGTCCCGCAATCTGTCGTTTACCCGACGGCCTGTTTGGCCGATGTGTACCTTCTTGCACGTTAGCGGAATCCAATAGACCACTCGTCCCACGCAAGGCACAAACTTGTTCTCATACTGCGTAACACAACCGAGGATATGGGTCCATCCTCTGTCCACCCTCGCACATAAACGACCCAGCTGACCAGGAGCCGAAACGAACCACAGGAGTGCCGTGCCGTTGTGCCACTTTCTTTAACCTGTGCGCAACTTTGTGGATATAAGGCAGCACAACAAGTCTCTGCTTAGGCATCTTACCCTTGCCAGCCTCCTTTTAAAATGGAAAACCAACTAGGCCAACTCACCACTATGCTACATTCGTCAACCGCTGCTTGAGGCGCACGAATGCGTTCTCCTGATCGGAGCCGCAGCTCAGGATTCTAGGCTGGCCTTTCCTCGTAAGATCGGAAAGGATAGCCGTCTCGGTTGAATATTTAATAATAAAATCTCTATGATAGTCCGTCAGCCCCAAAAATGACCGCACTTGCCTCTTTATGGTCGGACGCTGCACGTCTTGCATCCTTTGAAGGGTCTTAGGGAGCAAAATTCTAAGGGGAGAGAGATAAAAAAAAAAATTTAAATTAAAGTTCTTTCCAACCTGTGCCACACGAGGTATAACAGGTTTAAGCCAATTAATAAATAAAAAAAAATCATCTGTTTTGTTGTTATAAATCCGAAATCAAGGAAGGGGAGAAGCACCAGCAACCACCGGAGCGAGAAGATAGACCGCACACAACCTCACAACTGAAATGTATCGTGGGCATACAATTCAGTCATGCCCAAAAGACCGCAAAAAGGCTACTTCTTTTTTGCTAAGCGCCACCGATGACTGACTAACGCAGTTATCGCCTAAACCAATAATAGTGTATGCCTCGAGGACGTCACGTGTTTTTCTTCGTACCATCCAGTGATTGTGGTTTTTCAAACGATAGAGAACACTTAGACCGTTTGTAATGCACTGAAAGGTGGCCTTCTTTAGTTAGATTGTGCTCACATTGCCTCTCATGGAGACACCGGTCAGTTTGTCCCATATAGCACCATCCACAGGAAAGACGGGTATTGTACACAACTTACAAGGAACAAAAGGACGCACATGTTTTTTGTTGCACGTATGGCGTTATCCAATATTTTGCCCGAATCCTTGGACAAATGTCACATTTTTTTAGAGGCGGAAAGTAGAAGGGGCACAATATACCTATTTGCAACTTGTTTTAAATTATGTGAAATCTTGTGTAGATATGGTATAACCGCCTCAGTTTTCTGTCAACATTTTGCTTAATTTGGGCACACCCTTTTACTTTTTTTTTACCAGTGTTCTAGTTATTTTTGTTATGACTTGAATCGGAAACCTTGAAGTTGTAAGTCGTTCCATTTGGGCCAAGAAGTGGGCAGGAATGGCATGGTGACAGGACTTTTTTAAGGCTGAAGAGAGGCAGGAGATAGCTATGCCCCTCTTCTCAACCTTGAAATGCGAGAACCTGTAGAGGAGAATGCCTCTTTTTAGAGTGGGGTGAGAAAGACCAGCACAAATGATCTGCGTGCATGGCAAGAGAAAGGTCCGAGAATTGCAACAATCCTTCCTTGGGCATCTCAAAGCATCGACACACCGAAACACTTTGGTAACTGGCGTGAACTCAACAGATATTGCGATAGCATAGTCAATTTTGGCGAGAAATATGTGGCTTAGGACAGGCGTGACACAGAACCCATTACACACCCTGGATCTCTGCAAAAATACCCCGTTTTGGTATCCCACGAGTGTGGAATCCAGATAAAATAGACAAGTTCAAGAAAACTGTCTGTAGACACCCCACTTGAGTTTATCTTGAGGCTCAATACAGGCCCAAGATAAACAAAAGTTTATCTTGAGACTCAATGCAGGCCTGGGGGTCCATATCGCATGAGCGAATTACGTCTTAGCGAACAGCGACATTTGAGCGAATAGACTTTTTAGCAAATAACGGGGGCGCGCATTCACCCCCCCCCCCCCCCCTGCGCTGTGCTTACGCCGCCTAGCGGCAACAGTCTGCGGCGGCTCGTTACAAGAATGTGAGCCCACTTGGCCCACCCGAAAACGCTGCGTTGCGGCGTCTGACTATTCGCTCAAGTGTCACTCATTGAAACGGGGGCGTTCTCTAAAACGTCATTCGATCAAGTGAGTGCTTCCCCAGGCCCGGACGGTGCAAAGTAAGTGTTCATGCGGAAGGAATAAAAAAGGTCTTGTCATCACTAAATGTACTGTGATTCGAAAAGGCATTTGTCATCAAGGCTTCAAAGAACCAAAAGTGGATCACGGATCCGCACGCAGGAGAGGTGTTTTTGGAGATAGGCCGACATTCGCCATTGCCACGTGCCCTTCTCAGTGACTATTGCTCGAAAAGTACAGGCTTCTTTGTGCGTTTTTGCACTAAAAAAACACGTCCAGGTGCGGTCCTTGGGCTTTTTTTATGTTAGAAGCCAGCTGAGGTAACGACAGACTCTCGCAAAGCCTTAACCCTTTAACTGGCGAGTTATGAAACAGTGGGTTGATAATTTTTTTCTCGCTTTATTTGCCTCTTTAATAACCCAAAGATTCAACATATGAAGTATGAAAGAGTTTGCTCTAAAAATATAAAAAGCACAGAGCGTCAACAATATTGTTGACCTGCCCAGATATGGAGAAAATGTAAAAAAATTGGGATGCTTGTCACAACCTCTCTTCTGATGGTTCTTGCATGTCACTTCTTATGAAACAGAACGAAGCAGTTCTTTCCGCTCTGAAGGCACAGGAACAGTTTGCATTTTGTGCACTTGAAGCCGGATACGCCCTTTTGGCACAGAGCACAAAGGTCCCCAGACTTGTGCTGAGGGTGACTGCTCCTTGCACTGCTCTCCAGCGGCAACTGGCCAGTGACCTGTGTTGTCGTACCTACAGTCATTTGTTGACTGGGCATGTTTTCGTATTGCATTGCTGTTCTGAAGACTATGCAGAGGAGGTCTTCCTACAGGACGCATAGTGTTCACTTGGAGAGTGAATTTTAGTGAATTCCCCACAGTGATGCGGAAAGGTTTCAGTGGCATTGCTTTTTCTCCCAGTGCCGCACAGTCCCTTCTCTAAACAAACCAAGCATTGACAATGCAAACTTCGATAGCATATCCAAAAAGAGGAAGGTGCCACCTGTGAGACTTTGTTGGCGGCTTATAGAGGGGATCCAGCATATCTGAGAGATTAATCCCGCCCATGTGCTCATTGTACGCTGAAATGATAGCTGGACAGGTCACAGGAACTTTTAATATCTGTTCGCTATTTTACCTATTTACACACCCAAGTGGCTCCACTCCATGTGCATTGCTCAGTAGAGCTGCGCATCTGTTATCATTCCATTTAACAGCAATAATGCCATCTGATGAACAATAGTCCAGTGACCCGCGATCCCCCTTGGCAAGCACTTTGTCTCTCTTCAGCACTTTGTCGGCGCCTCCTGTCCTGTTGCCACGGACTGTGTCGACGCAATGAATGACAAGTTCATTCTTCATTCTCTGTACTAGGTCAAAGTTGGTAAAAAAATTGTCAAAAAATACCAATGTACCCTTCGGGTCCTCAGTGGTTCTCGAAAGCGTGAGGACGATCTTCACACCAAGCAGAAGTCTTTTCTCGCTTGGAGCCAGCGGCGATTTGCAGCGAGAGCTTGACCCCTGGTACAGAACGAGGTCGCGAATGATCCCCGTTGAGCTGGACCGACAGAAGAGCTTGAAGCCCCATTTGTCCGGCTTGTTATAGATGTACTGTCGGAGGCTCCCTGCACGGGCACCCTTGGAGGCCACCATTACTTCGTCGATGCTTTGCTTGCTTTTTGCAGGAATTTTCAGGAACTGCTTTGGGAGACTTTCAAAAAGTGGTCTTACTTCGTAGAAGCGGTCGCCATCCGGAACTTGGGTGAGGTTGTCGACGAAGTGAACATAGCGCCTCAAAGCCTCGAACCTTTTCACGGGCATGACCTCAGCTATTGGTGGAAATCTGGCGTGAAGTGACTAGTAATTTTGCAATGAGGAAAACTTGTAAACGCACATGAGTACGAGAATTCCCAAGAAGCGACGGATTTCTTCGGGTGTTGTACCGAAAGACTTCCCTTGTTGGGGGGCTGAGTACTGTAAAGGTTTGTTTGGTAAGTTATCTCCTCTACCAACTTGTCTGTGAACATCATCTTGAAGTAAGCCTAAGGGGAGCTGACCACTGGAGGGGGCAAATGTACCTTTTCCGGTACGCTCAAGTCTGGGATGTCTTCTTTTTTTCACTTCCTCGATTTTTGCAGGCCTCTTCTTCCTTTACCTGCCATCCTGTTGTCCGCTTCATTTTCGACAGGAACAAGAACACGTTTTTTTTTCTTTGCTTTTCTTTGAAGGAAGGAAAATCAGGGATGCCTCCTTATAAAACACTTCATTCAAACTAGTTTAGGTGAACCTTCACTGAATAGCCACAGAAAGCTGTCCTAGAGTGCGCTCACCTCCTTTACTTGGCACTAAGGTAATGCCTACCAATCGTAAGGCCTGGGGTTAATTCCCGTCACCAACCAGGAACAATTTTTTTTAATCGTGATGAGCTAATTTTAATTATCTAGTTCCTCATAGTGATCTCTCTGCTCTTTATTGTGCCTATTTGTTGCTATGGGGTTTATGTTACTTAGGCCTACGAAAGCATTATTAAAAGTGATGGAAGATATTCTATAGTGATGTAAAATTTATATTTTTGCCATATCAATTATGGTCCTCTTACCAAAAGTTAATATGAAACATATTTTTAGCGCTTGTTTTGGTGGCCCATAAAATTAAAAAAACACAATCACCAGCATGGCCTGGTCAGCAGCATTTCTGAGGCCGCCTCCAAATCCTCCATTGTGGTGAGCGGCAGGATGAACACGGGAGGTGAAGACGGTGCGTCGGACCCCCTTTCCGCCTGCTTCATCACTGCCAGGCGGGCCCTGATTTGGTCCTGCCCTGTCAGGATGGCCGCCATTTCCGGCCTGAGTTGCCCCATATCAAACCGCAGTTCCAACAGGACCTTCAGGACCTCCTCTTAATATGCTAGAAAAAAAGCAAAAAATAAAATGCAGGTATGGCAGTAAGAGTCTCATGCATATATATTCATAAAAATTCCACGAGCCTGTGACAGTGAAAGAAAGTTATCCTGCTAGCTGATCTCTTGTTGCAGGTAGTGAAGGAATGAAACACACTTGGAAAGTGCCTCCACCTTTAATAAGCTTAAATAATTAAAACCATCTCGTGCCAAGATGTTGTCCCAGTCATTCTGGCATTTGAATACAGCTGAATCTCATTAATTCAAGCTCAAGGAAAAGTGAAGCTTTTTTCGATTAAGGCGGATTTCAAACTAAAGGAAGTCTTTTTCAATGAAATGCCGCTCTCTGGGATACGAAGGAGCACGACAACAGAGTCTGAGACTTGATATTGGGTTACGCATTGCCGCACACCATAACGAGGCGATACTGACAAAATGTGCAGATTGTAAGAACTGCACAGCTAATAGAGCCGTGCAGTTTTTACCCGGGAAACCCAAAAAGAAAGCAGAGCCATGTCACTATGCACTTTCCAAGCTGCAAAAGGTGCGCACGCGATGCCACTTAGACACACTGAAAGCCTTAGGGTTGGATTTTCCAGGTAACATAAATAGGAGAAGTGCGACATACTGATTGGACTTGAGTGCTACGTTAGCATCAGGTTGGGAATCGTGTTAGATCAATGAGAATGAGAGTCTCAGCCCATCATGGGAGCATCCTACGGAGGGCTCCCATTATTCCTTGTGTGTATTGAGCACGGGCTCTCAAGATTTTTGCAAAGGGTCCATGGACCCATCATCCAACCCCTGCAGGAAGCTAGCACCATTGCATGAACAGCCACATTCTAGATAGCCATGATTTTATAAAGTGTTTCTTGAGTTCCCAGGTTTATTCCTCACTTCATTCACAACTTGAGATATAACAGACGAACACCACCATTGACTACTCTTTTACATCTACAACATAACCAAGAGCTGGCTTCCTAGTAAAGCATTACTCTTTTTGCCCTGTTTGTGAAACATGCATATATCTGAAACATCTCATGTGGCTGCTTTGCTTTCCAGACACATGAAGCAAACAAATCCCTTTGCATAATACTATACAAGGCCAGCTGAACTTAGGAAAGGGGCTTCTGGCAAGGCCTCTGCCAAACAGACTGACCCAGAGGTCCTGCCCGGGTCCTATATATACCCTTAAACCAGGACACAACCCCCTAGACATTCTATGCAATCGAAAAGCTGTATTGAAGCTGGTCGGAAGGCAGTTATGCTATAGCCAGCTGAACACCATTTGACCATTCTTGTGATCCTTCTCATATTCGAGTCCTTGTTTGGTCTAGTTGACCCTAGAAGCCTGGACAGGCCTGTGTCCTGTTCATTCTTCATTCATTTTGTCCTCATCATAAGCGAGCATGGTTGACTGAACATTGTCTTCAAGTGGTGCCAAATGACATAGTTGCATCCTCGCTGTGTATTTCCTTTGACAAAGCACGCAAATATACCGCGATCATTGAACAACTGAAAGGTGGTTACTATGAAGTGAGAGTAGCACTAGAACTTAAAACCGTATGACCTAAGTTGAAAGTAATATGAGGCGGAGATTCTACAAGAATTTATTAGCTCCACTGAAATTGTTTTTGAAGCTTGGTTATTAGAACATTTTCAAGGTCCCTTTCGAGATCCAAGAATCGGTCAGCATGTAACTGTCACTTGGAAGCATTTCACCCTCACCTTAGCCCTCACCTCCCACAAATGGCCTGAGACCAACGTGTTGGAAGAATCATGAAAATATCCTTACAAAAATGATCAAGGCTTACCGTAACTTCATTTGGCAAGCATGCACGGTCACATCAAGTCATGCAAAACTGGGGACTAACACAATACATCCACATCTTCAATCAACCAATTTAAAGAACATGCTATGCCAGAAAGCATGTTGTCTGAAGTAAAAGGAGTTAGAGCTAGACATATGTTGAGTTGGAGAGAATGTTAAGGCAGCAACGCAACTTATGCTGCAAGCAGGTGCCCACCGGGTCGGCAGCTGAAAAAAAATAATCTCGATAAAATATTGTTCGCAGTAAAATTTTAATTTTACTTATTCATACGCCCTCAATGCAGTATGTCAGAAACATGTACAAAACTTGGGCAAATTGATGCAACCTAGGCAAATTTAGTTTCCAGCATGGCCTAGATCAGGGGTCAGCAACAAGCAGCCCACTACGTTATCCTGCCCACGAGGCAGTGTCATACGACTCGCGGCGCAACTTCAAAACTTCCCCCTACCCTGTCCCATACGTACAATCTCCAAGACCATACGACATATCCGACCTCGAACAGAGTTACAGTTTATCAGATAAATCTAATAAACTCAGAAAAACACTAGCCGGCAAATTTTGCATCAATTCTGATTTATTTGAAAAGCTCCGGTTGTGAAGGTCACAACAGCAATAAACTACTGGTTATTTTTCTAAATCTGATCAGTGCGAAGGGTCAGCGGTTCTGAGCAGAAGCCACCTGGGTCTCTCTTCACATCACGGACAATAAAGAGCTTGGAGGAAAAGGAACGGAAGCCACAACTGGCTTCCATTTAGCAGATGGCAAGCAAACGTTTGCCAACGCGGGCAAGAAATGGACGTTCCATCGTCTGCTCAAAGCGTCAACCACCAACAAAAAAGAAACAAATACACCTTCTCATTGTCTGCTAATAGAACACAGAACAGGCCCGACATAAAATAAATGAAGTCCTACAAGCTACATATGAGGAGTTTTTTGTTTTCTAAAAGCTAAATCCAGAAACCGAAACTAAGCTAATTTTTGCCGAAATACGAACTATACCCGTCAGCGCATCAATATCAAATGTTTTTAAACTGGAATCGGTCATAGTACACAAGAAAAACCACTGCACAGGTGGCCGTGGTGCATGGCTCCAAAGCTATACTGATCAGGAAGCATTCCAGTTTATCTCGGTTTCGCTTGACATGGATTTGGCTCATTTCGAAAAACAACTTCTCGTACATAGCTAGGTCAGGTGGTGGTGCATACCCAGGCGAAAAACGTGCCACATATACATGGCCATATTTTATGTTTTCAGTTATCTAATCAACCAATTCAAGAAACGACCGAGTGCCTCTTGAGATGAAAGAAGCTATAATTGCCGTTGTCTTCGTTCGTCCAGAAGCATAGCGCTTAGCCTCATCAGTCTTGGGGAGCATTTTTCGGAACAGGAGTCCGGCGTGGTCGCTCACACTCAAAGGAATGTTATGCTCAACCAGAAATGCCGTAGAGGCATTCTGCACGAATTGCACCAGAGTCGTTGTCACTCTGAAGGAAACTTACCAGATTCGACTGGTTATCTGCAGCTCGCACATATCCCTGGTGTTTACGCGAAGCGATGTGCAGCTTGATGTCAGCCTTGCCACCGTGTGAAACGCTCACATCACACGTGCACGTGCGACAGAATCCAAACTTCTCTCCCTTCTTGGACGGCACGAAGCACGGGAATTCCTGCTTGTAGGATTTTAGGAACACCTGAAAGTACCCCTTTTGAGGTTTGGAGTTCGCCATTGCGCCGCGAACCCATTGCGACTAGGGGGATACTATGATTATACGTGCAACAAACACAGTCACCGCTCCGCTCGCCACGAAAACTGGCCGAAACAACGAGGCCCAACACGCCAAACCAACGTGCGCCGCCGAACTACAGTGGCCTAGAGAGTTGTAGTGGGCTCACGGGACGGCTCGGCCTGATGCGTTTGATGTCGACGCGGCGGTGGCGCTGTAAGCTTTTCCTCCTGAAACTTTCCAGCGTGCATTGGCCAAACTAGGCGGCTCTTACCAATCGTTAGTTTTGTGTTTGCCTCTGAATCAATCATGGTAAGGTAACTATATTAATTTGAGCACCGAGCGTGTTTTAAAAAATCGTTTGACTTCCTTTTGATCACGGCTTGGGGGGGTTCCGGTCACGTTTGCGGCTCTGCGAGCCATGCGGCTCTGCGAGCCATGCAGCTCGGTAGCGGCGCGGCTCTACTGTGATTAATTACAACTCTAAGTCACTGCAGTTTTAGACAAATTACAAGGCATCTCTCGTTTTCCGTGCTACTAGCGTGTGCGGCAAGGTTCTGTCCATGCTGATCTGATCGGCATGCACAGAACCGATCGATGCTTGCGAGCTTGGTATGACACCTTGACATTATGCGCCTCGATAAAGAAACTCATTCCTTTTTCGAATGTCAATGCATTTATTCACTGAGATACCGGCTGATGGCTGCACAACAGGAAACCACAAACATTTGTTGACATAACAGCGGTGACACAGTGTGTCTTGAAATAGAACAAAAATTAAGATGCATTATGGGAAACCCAGAATACGGGGGTTGAGATGCCAACTGTAATGCCAACGTAACACTAAAAGATATATATATATATATATATATATATATATTTTTTTTTACGAGCTCTTGCTTATTTTCTTGTGCTTGGCACTTTCCCTTTATGACTTTTTTCCTCGGTGTTTATACCCTTAACAAAAAAGTGCTGCCGAGTGTCAGGTGAAAGCTGATTACTTTTTTTGTTGGTGCAGCGGCATGTTCACTGCAACCGATGCTGCAAATCCACCTCGCCCTCACCAGGGTAACTAAGTCTAAAATGCTCTCGGTGTGCAACTTTTTCCTACTAAAACATTCAGTGAACATGTCCTCAAGCCTCCTTTCAAAGTGTTAGAGCGCACTACGAGGGTACAGAAGTCCTCCCTTATCCTTGTGGAGAGTAAGCCTAGCAATTCCACAACTGCCCTCAACGGCCGGCATTGTCAATGTTTGCTTGAAAGGCTCACATTTTGTTTTCATGACACACTTCTTTGCAATGTAGCCGTACACATTGTAGACGAGTCGTGAGTCACTCCTCTCTATGTGCTGCTCATGATCAAAGGAAGGTGACAAAGCCACCCCAGCATCAGGCAAATTTCCAGACTTCATGAGGTCATCTGCTTGATGCCACGAGCTACTGCTGCTAGGTGGGCAATTGTTGCTGTCTTCTCCTGTTTCCAGCAATGCACTTAGTGCACATGGGTCAGCATTTCCATACCTCACAGTTTTCACCAAACTGTAAAAAGACATACAGTTCATTGTCATTAGGAACTGAGTAGGAGTCGGGTGATCATTACAGCTTGAAACCTGTCTCACTATCCCATAGAAGTTTTCGGTCGGATCCTGGATTAGACGTAATGTCATGATGTACTTGTAGCCTACTTCTTGAGTGAGGTACGACCGAAGCTCGAGTGTGCTCGACAAAGTCGCCCGCAGACCTACAGCTGTTGACTCGCTGAGGAAGCCTCCAGCCCCGTTCGCATGGCTCTCCCAAGCTGCCAGGTACCCCAGGAAGCTTGCGATGACTGCTCTGGAGGACGAGTTGGGTCGCAAAGCTTCGGCCGTGAATCGGGACGTCATGACACTGATGAGCCGGTTCATCTTCCTGGGGCAAGAAATGCAACATGACCCATCATCAATTTTAAATATTGCCTATGCATTTCTGATGTTTTATTTTGTTATCCTTGGTTAGTGTGAGTGTCCCTATTAATGACTGAGCTCTGCTAAGAACTTTTTATGGGGCAATGGGGTTGGGGGGGAAAGGGGGGGGTGCCTTGCACCTCTACCTGCCTTCTGAATCTATGGCCAAGAAAGAAATACAACAAATTAAATCATTTACTTAGGTCGTAGTAGCGCTCACAGTTATGAACAATAGATAAATGTGCATACCTCTATTATTACATGTATTGCGAATAATGTGTCTAACAGCCCCATTTTGTATATTTTGTCACCCGTTGACTGGATCCCTTGTGACTTGAATTGTACTTGAAAAACTCTTGCGTAGCACTGACAACTCCGGTCCCTGCTTCAATCTGATTTTTGTAAAAGTGGAGGCCCTGGAGAACCCTGTCCCTGAAGTACTGGAACGCTAGCCCAGCTCTCATCTTCTCAAAGGCATTCGGCTGCAGGTGACATTTCGTGATTCCAGGCATAGCCTTAAGTATCAGGCTGCTAGCGTCAATCTTGAATGCTTCTCTGACGTGGTGCATTGTTACCTAGATAAGTAAAAACCATATTGATATAAATTGGCAGGAAAACAAAGATTTATTAAATTAGAGCTTAATTCATCCTCTTGCACTGATACCGAAATATTCTTCAAGTAGTTTTGTTTTTCTGTTGTTCAAACTCACAATTTAGAACTAGAGAACTAAATAAGACTATGTCTTCTCTCTGTCTGCTGCCAAGGAAGATGTAAAGCGACAGCATTTGGATCTTTTGCCTGTTGAGGACGTGATCCTCACATAATATCAATGTGTCATGTGATGTGATGACCCATTACAGTTATTTTCATTTTTTTTTACTAAATTTAGTTCATGTATTAACCATTTCAGTTTCCTGACTGCCAAATCTAGTAGGAGACGTAAAAAAATGCACTTACATTCCCATCCGGGGTGTTAAATGGACATTTGAGTAGTCCGTTCCTCAAACACTTAATGAGGTGCGGGAAGTCTGAGACAAAGTGGATGTAGTGGCTTGCGTCCACGGGGTGTTCTACCTTGCATTTTATCTTGCCTCGTGTTCCGTCAACATTCAAGACTTTCCACACCCTTCGGTTTCAACTTGCGCCATAGCACGTAATAAAGTCCAAGAATAGACCACTTTTTTCAGCAAGAATTGTGACCTCAATGAGAACTTGAGCCAACAGATCTCCTTTAATGTTGCCGCTTGTGGCAAATGTCCCAATTACTTGCCTCCACTTGCTGACGAACGGTACAAACATGATTACCATCCCATGGTCCGATTGCACACTCTTTTCTTCCGCAGAGGTGTAGTCGCCCAGATCCACGAAACCTTCGATCTGGCCAGAGTGCTTCACACACAGATGCTCCAAGAGCTTCAACTCGTCAACAAGCAGCCCACCATGCTTCTTGAAGGAGTTTTTGTCTTGTGTCTTGAGTTTCAGCTTTTCTAGAACTTTCTTACTAAATCCAAATGAGGTTCGGTAGACAGCCATATACCGCTTGAGCGTGGACTTGCTCGGCAGAGCAAAGATTTCGTTGTCCCGCACGTGGTCGTAGAGACGGACACTTTTCTTCTTCATAATAATGCACTCTAAAATCCGCATCTTGCTGTGGTGAAAGCCTCTCTTCTTCACCCTTGGTGCAAGAAAGCATTGCCTGACACTTTCTGGTTGCTTTGGTGGGAGTTTGGAGATCTGCTCATTAAGAGCTTCTTCAGTAGCTGAGGCATTAAGCGCACGCATCTTGCGAATGGTATCTTTCATTGCCCCAATCCGCGAAGCAAAATGCCTGTTTTGCTGTGAAGCACATCGCAGCTTTTGAGCAACTGTTCGACGCTCCGTCGCAGTGGCTCGTCGAATTCTTGATTGTCTTGTCGAAAGTACTTTTCGGAAGTACTTGCACATGACGCACTGTCCTCCTACAAACAGAAGAATATGTCAATTAAATTTTTGAGTTCTAGAATAAAATGCACTGAGAAATAATGAAATGAAGTGTTTTGCAAAAAAAAAAAAAAAAATGGAACAATGCTCGCCTTTTTCTTCCACTCTGTCGAGACAATTCCTGTTGAAGTATGTCCCTTGTCTTGACATCACCTGTTCCTGGAGTCGTTTAGTGAAGAAGCTTGGATCGTAACCCTTGAGATCCAGAGCACCAACACACAGTTCAATCGTTTCAATCTTTTTCAGCAAGTCTTCTGCTTCTGCTTGAGAATCGAGTCCTCTTTCTTTAACCACCCGCCCTCTTAGCTACACCTTAAAGTAAACGTCAGGTAGTCTGTCGCAAACAAACATCACCACCGTCTCAGATGTTACGACTACGTCCTCAGACGAACTCGAAGTGCAATTACACCTGGAAATTATACTGTTCGCCACCGCGCCGACAACACGTGTCCGCAAAAGCCACCAGAGACACGGAGGGGCGCGGAGCGACGTGGTCCGCCTGGTTCCCGGTTTTCCCGCTTGGTGGCGTCCATTTTGCTGGAAACATAGATTTAATAAAGTCATTGGGTTTTAGAGACAGCGAAGGGAGAGTGGATTTCAAGACTGTAGAGATTACCAAGCAAAGATTAAGTGAATGGTGGCAGAAATCGAGAGAAAACTAGGTATTTTCTTAATCACTGATGGCAAGGGGGTTTCATAGCCTCACTTTCTTTGCACTGCGGAGTGAATATAGATTTCACATTTAAATATTCTAAGCTTAAATGGTAAAACAAAATGGCTAGGTGGCGTAAGCTACCGCCCGATCCAAAGGGCTCAGCCGTATTCATCCATCCATCCATCCATCCATCGCGAATGTTGTCTGGTGTTGCTCACATCCATGACAGCGAACCATTTGCACATCATCTTGATGAACTCCATGGTTGGGCCCACTGACGCAAACTCAATGTCGCATGTATGTCCAGTTTGGTCTTTCATGTACTGCTGTGCAGCTGTCATGGGCGTGGAGATTTCTACAGCTGGGCCTCACACTCATCTTTTTTATGTTTGAAGGGTACAGATGCTTCCTTGTTCAAAACCTTAATTGGCTTCACCGTGGATCCCTGCTGCATCTTGTAGAGCTGCTTCAAAGGAGCCGCTGAGATCTCATTTTGACCCCCAATTTCCTTCACAAGAAATTGTGATGTGACATTCTTGATAATGTGACACTGGTCAAAGGCCAGAAAAAGTCTTCTTGAAGGATCCGCTGGATGCGGAGCT